AAAGAGGAAACAGGCTTCAACTTTGCCAAATCAATTTTGCCAGTTGGTGGTGCCAATAAGTAAACATTGTTCAGACTCACTCAAAATTTCTTTATTTTTGTGGATCGTTCCTTGTTTAGAAAAATGCACAATGTCACATTGAGCCTAATTAAACTTCCAAGCCCCTTGTAGCTGTCATAGCAGCTGTTCTAATGTACTGTTTCCGACAGCTGTCGTCGAGTACAGTATTCAAACAAATCAAGCAGAACTGACAACTTTGTGGCTGGATGAAGGGTCTGGAAGTATGAGGAGAATTCTGTGGATTAGAGACACCAAAGTTTGGATTAATGAACTCAATTTATGAAACTGCTATTGTGGTCAGTTAGCTTGACAATTAATGAGAAGATCACGTCCCCTTCCTAATTAGGAAATCATTAGGTCTACCTTGTTTACATGCATTTATTTTCCCTTCAAGGTGATTGGGCCTAAAATTGGGATTGCGAGAGCTCCCACATAACACAAACCCAGATATCCTAAGACTCCTACATTTTACAAACCAAGTTATTTCCTTCCTAATACAAAGCACGACCATTACAATTTATTGTGTATTGTCAATGGATTGTGTCTGTCATGGTGATTGTGATGGAACCGAGGGGGAGGAGTAAGAAATCTAAACATCTTTGTGTTTTCTTCCTTTTCTTTTCTCTGCCTCCCCCCTTTCAGGCTCTGAAAGTGTTCCAGCTGAAATTTCAGATTGGACAGACTCGCTGCGGCTCCGGAGGCAGTGATTCCAAGCTGCTCGTGTGCGCTGCTGCCAAGCTGCAGGATGGTGCACGTAGCCCGGCTGCTGCTGCTGCTCCTCACTTTCTTCCTCCGCACGGATGCTGAGAGTAAGCCATTCTCCCCTTCTCTAGGGGGCTGTGACCATAATGAGTGGTTTTGTTTGCCGTTGGCACCAGGCTCGGGGCCTCTGAATACATTTCCTTTGGAAGTAAATCCTGAGACACTGTGGGAACCTCCTTGGCTACCAGCCAGCCTTTGAAAGAGATTATTGACGTGACTTCCTCACCATTTCCTCTCCCTTTTAATACCCCTTTTCTTGTGCATCTAACTGCTCCTCCTGTTTATTTATTTTTTTTATACCTCTTATCAGCCTGCTAGCAAAGATATTATGAGACCAAGAATATAACTCAAACAGGTTAACCAGTTGGTGGTGCCAATAAGTAAACATTGTTCAGACTCACTCAAAATTTCTTTATTTTTGTGGATCGTTCCTTGTTTAGAAAAATGCACAATGTCACATTGAGCCTAATTAAACTTCCAAGCCCCTTGTAGCTGTCATAGCAGCTGTTCTAATGTACTGTTTCCGACAGCTGTCGTCGAGTACAGTATTCAAACAAATCAAGCAGAACTGACAACTTTGTGGCTGGATGAAGGGTCTGGAAGTATGAGGAGAATTCTGTGGACTAGAGACACCAAAGTTTGGATTAATGAACTCAATTTATGAAACTGCTATTGTGGTCAGTTAGCTTGACAATTAATGAGAAGATCACGTCTCCTTCCTAATTAGGAAATCATTAGGTCTACCTTGTTTACATGCATTTATTTTCCCATCTGTCCCGCGGCTTTTTGGAAGAGAAAGTACTGGAGAAAGGCATGTCTCGGCCTTGTACTCCCTGACGTGTGGGGTTCCTCGGTAGTGGTTTAGTTCATACGTGAGTTGGCCATTCTCTTTGGGAATCCCCTAGTATCAGCAAAATGTGTAACATCTGCAGTCATTAACGTTTCTCTCCACTGACTATTTCAGTGAGATTAAATTTGATTCATGTTAAGGATGTTTCCAACACAAGGATCCTGTGTCATCTTGGCCCCTTCCTATTAATTGCATTTTGACAAGAAATCCCTCACGAGCCACCAATTGCTTCATTGAAATAGGAGCTCTATTTTCTACAGAGGTATTTTGAAAAGTGAAAGGAATAACATTAATAATAAGATACATATGTAACATGCATGTTTTAAGCACAACATTCTCTGGTTAATAATGTATATAGTTTCCTAATTAGCACTTGGGAGTGTCAATTTAAGGTGAAGCCAAGGAATTTCGATTCTAATGCCAGCAAATAATTAACTGGGAAAAGACCCAAATGTAAGATGTTCTTGTTATTTTAAAGCCTTTTATATCAAAGCTTATTTTAAAGGTGAAATCTAAATTTAGTTTATTAAAGAGAAATTGAGACTATGGTTTTATTATTTTTGTTTGGCTAGAGTGCAAAAGTAAGTTGTTTCACCATTGTTAATTTTTGGCAGAAGTCCATTTAGACCCTGGGAGCCTATTTTAATGTCAGATCATAGCTACAGGGTTTCTTAAAGTTACTAGATATAATTATTGTATGTCCATGAAGTTACCTTTCCAGATAAGCAAAAACGTTCTTCTACTGAGCAGTGCTGCCTTTGCTTAATTCTCTGGTGAAAAGTGGCAGACAGATGTGGAGTTGAGAAAGGAAGACTTTTAAAATTATGTTTGAAAAAACAATCTTTTATGCAGATAACCGTCATCTTACTGGTTTTCTCCTCCGTCTTCCTCTTCATCACACTTCTTACGCTGTGTAGTCTTGCAAAAGAAATCACAAAGGCCCTTGTTAGCAATTTTTAGTTAAGATATTTATCATGCTATATGTTTTGTGATATGAGCTTTCAACCTTAAGATGTCACTTGAAAAAGAATCTACTCCCTCTCACCCTTCCCGTTATAGCTAAAAAGAGGAAACAGGCTTCAACTTTGCCAAATCAATTTTGATTAGCTTTGTCCTTGTCTAATCAGCCTCCATGTAGTATATTTTCCTTTTCACAGATTCATTTGGCACTCTTGAATAGCATGTGTATTCTGAAAGTTATTGACGAAAGAGGAAATTTAACCATATCTTTTAAGGTACATTTTAAAAGAAAAAGGAATATCCATTTGCAATCTACCAGAGGATATTTGTGGTTTGTGAAAGCACATGGTAGAGTTGGAGATATTTCAGTCACTAAAAATGTTTAAAAACAATTGGTAAAATAGGATCCAGATTATAACTTATCAAATACTGTCATTACCTTTTCTTCAAACACTCAAAGATAAAGTTATAAGTAACACTAAAGAAAAATTTGATTTATTCACTATCATATAAAGATAATATTTTTCAGGCTTTTATTGCCTACCCAGGCAATAAAATACTACCAGAAATACTGATGTATTTCCTTATGTCTTCATTAGCACATCTGGCCTTCTTTGTTTTCCCTTTTACCTAACTGTGTTTTGTACTGATCCAAAGGATCAAGAGTTATTAACAGTAGCTTGTCAGAGCCATTTTGGAACTCTGAAATAATTTTTTCAAATGTTTGTCCTCCTTTGAAAAAGAAGACTCTATGGGGGTGGGAATGGAAAGAAGCCACTCTAGTTTGCCATGTTAATCTAATGTGCCCAACTCACTCTCTTTGGAAATGATTAATTCCAAAAAGCCTGGGAGTCAGGGTTATAATCTGCTGTATAGAATGTCATAGCAAAGTACTGGGTGTGATGTTGCATTAAGGAGGAGAGCTCTTATGAGCCTTGGTTCAAACCTAGGTTGGAAAATTGTGATAATATCCCCAGCAGAAAATTATTGTCTTTGCCATTGCCAGTTTAAAATGCCCTATATATCTATCCACTATTATTTTAAAAAGCTAGACGTGTGTTTGTATCTGATTTCTGTTCATTCTGGTGTCTTGAATGGCTCAGATGATTTTGCTTGTTGTTTCTTGAATGCATGTCTGGACAGTAGACCTGTGATCTCAGGGAGAGGCATATGCTACTTCTGTTCGAGCAGCACGAGTAGCTCTTCTTCAGAGCTGGCCAACCAGTTTTGTGGTTTAGGTAGTGCTTCGAGAACCATTCAACTATAACATGCATGCAAATTAAAGATTCATGTAGATTATAGTAATGTAATCCTCAGGTGAATGTTTTTCTTCTGGAGGAGTTTTCATAATAGCTTCTGTTAGTTTGCAATTTACCAGTCTTTAGAAAACAAAAACTAAATACAGACCAAGAACCGGCTGTTAGCATCTTTTTTGTCAGACCAGTTTCACTCTAACGAAATCATTTGTAGCATACTCTTACATTCTAGACCTGAGTTTACGCTGTGGTGATTATAATTAGACCTGAGTGTTTACGTAATCTCAGAAATAAAACTTTTTTTAAATTATAGAGACACACCGTTGATAATTTAATTCCTCAGATGGTTTAGTTCATCCATTTACTTGTTGCTTTTTGTCATTGTTCCACTTCAGATTGTGAATACTTCCTCATTCTCCTTCCTTATTGTTAAAGAGCCTTGCTGTAGTCACTATATACTCGCAATATATCTGTCCTTTATGGAAGCAGTGAGTCCCTCCTCTACCCCCTTTGGTATTATATCACTCTAGCCCATGGAGTTTCTTTATTTCTTTGACATTAGAGCAGAGACTGACATCTGTGTTGCAAGGTAATCATTTGTTACCTTAAGTATTTCCTGATGGGCAGCATAGAGTGATGGTTTAGAGTGTGAACTCTGAAGCCATAGTCTGGTTTTGAAGTCTGGCTGTCATTTGGTAAATCATGCTCAGCCTCAGTTTCCCATCTTTGTCATTTTGATCAATCGTGCTCTTTGATTCAGTTTTCCTATTTTTAAAATGTGGATGAAGGTGATGGTCATGACATAATACTCCTGGGTTTTGCGAGGATTTACTGAATAAACTCATACATCAGTAGATAAATAAAACTCATACATCAGTAGATACCACAAGGTAGGTGTTTCATGAATGTTAGCTGTTATTATATCATTATTCAACAAGATTTAGCAAACGGTTTTATTGAGCACATGTGTGAAGCACTGTGCTAAAGTGTTTTTTTTTTGTTTTGTTTTGTTTTGTTTTTTTAATTTGACCTAGAGATTATCAGAATTTGGATAGTGGATAAGCCAGGTTTTCTTGTAGCAAGTTAAAGTCTCCAGCTTGCTTCTCTGCAAAGTCCTATATGTAGGAGTTCTTATAAACCCTTGCTTCCGGGCATTAAATTGAAGATCAAGAGGGGAAATATAAAGCATATCTGCTTTAGTCAAGTGGTTAAAAAAAAGCTTCTTAGAATTACACATTTAAAATTAATTTGGCTTGGGTAGAATGGATAGTAGAAGGTGTTTCCGCTGTTTGTACGGTTGCCTCTTATATACATTTTATTGAGCGGTTCACAGGAAGGAACTATAGAAATTTACTGTAGGTAAACACAGTAATACAGTGCCTCTTCAGAAAGCTGAAGGTAGGGGGTGAGCTTGTTGAGAAAGAGAGTGAGTGGCCATTGATATGACCATGAATTATCTTGCAGGAAAAAATTTAAAAAAAATTTTTTTTTGAGACAGTCTCAGGCTGGAGTGCAATGGTGTGATCTCGGCTCACCGCAACTTCCGCCTCCTGGGTTCAAACGATTCTCCTGCCTCAGCCTCCCTAGTAGCTGGGATTACAGGCATGTGCCACCATGCCTGGCTATTTTTTCTGTATTTTTAGTAGAGATGGGGTTTCTCCATATTGGTCAGGCTGGTCTCGAACTCGCAACCTCAGTTGATCCGCCCGCCTCAGCCTCCCAAAGTGCTGGGATTAGAGGCATGAGCCACCATGCCCGGCCCCCAAAATGTTCTTAAGTTAGATTAGGGTGATGGTACTGAGTATAAACATAATATACTAAATACCATTGAATTGTATGCTTTAAATGGGAAAACTGTATGGTATTTGAATTATATCTCACTAAAGTTGTTAAAACAAGGGAAAAAAATAGCCGGTTGTGGTGGCACATACTTGTAGTCCTAGCTACTTGGGAGGTTGAAGAGAGAGGACTGCTGGAGCCC